TGGGGACAGGACTTGAAGATGAGTTGACTTTAGACTAATGCTGGGGAGTGGGAACTGACCTGGGCAGCAAAGCAAGGCAGAGAGGCAGAGATGAACTCTGAATGTTCAGGGCTCACCAGGGAGACTCAGAGGGAAGCCTGGTCAGAGAATAGGACAAGACCAGGGAGAGAAGATCTTGAGAACAGATGAAGGGCGGAGTGAGGAGTTTGAATTTGATGAGGCCTGCCATCTACTGGCAGCTGACGCAGGCTCTCGGGCAGTAGTGTGGCCTTGGTCCCGCTGAGGTGGGCAGGGGGAGCTAGAGACAAGGAGAATCTCTAGGGGCCCCCACCCCTGAAACAGAAGCCTGAGTTTCAAAGTGGTTGGAGGCGGGAGAGGAGAGTCAGCGAGAACAAAGATGGACAGATTGGGGAAACATAAACGAAGGTAGGAAGAGTAGACCTCCAAGAGTAAATGCAGAGAGTGGACACAGAGGCCAAGAGGCTTGGCTCCAGGGCTTTCTTCCTAGGAGACCAGAATTTCCCCTTGTGCAGGCTGAGGACATATACACATGCTCCTCATTCCCATTAAGCCTCACACTGACACCCCAAGATGGTTAGGAAGTGGCTTGGCAAGGTCCCTCCCAGGCCTTTTGGAAATCTCCATGAAGGAGTATCTGCTTCTCCTCCCCATTCTTCCTTCTCCTTCCCCAGTCCCTGACCCACCCCTTTCTCTTTCCCTCTCTCCTTCTACCCCTCCTCCTCCTATTCGAACTTTCTGGCTTCTGCAGGAAAAGCAGCCACAGTTTCTTCCCACTGCCCCTCCAACCCCACCCCAATGCTTGGAGGACAGATCCACCCCTTTGCTGGGTTCTGGAAGATTCTAAAACACTTCGGCCTGCTGCTCCCACCAGCCTGGCTCCTGCTGCGTCCCCAGAAACCTGTCCAAAAAGAAGTGTTCAGAGCACATAGGGACCTCCTCTTGCCCTCCAAACCCCCAAGCTGCTGCTAACCAGCTTGTGGAGAGAATGGACGAAGCGACATTTAGGGCAGGAAGAACATCAGCCAGCTAGCACAATCAACTTCTATTGCTAAGCGAGCATGTATGCTCAGGCCTGTGGCCAGGTACAGGGCGCACAACCCTCTGTCCGCCCTCCTGTGTCTCCTCAAGGGAGCAGGGCTGTCTCTTCTCACATGTGTGTGCACACACATCCACACACACAGGAACTCACGTGACATTAGGAAAAAGTCATTCTAACCGCCCCCTACATTGGTCTCAATGGGTTCTTGTAGCTGTAAATGGGAATTAGAAAGCCTAGATCAGCACAGAAACCAGCCTTAACCAGTTGGCTGAGCCATGGTCAAGTAAATTAATAAATCCTGGTACCTGAAAAAAATCTAGATATCAGGAATAATGGGGCAGGGGGAGGAAACTGGTTCTGCCTGTAGAATGTAACTGACCAGCACAGGCTGAGATTTCTTTGTTTGTTTGTTTGTTTGTTTGTTTTTGAGACAGAGTCTTGAACTGTCGCCCAGGCTGGAGTGCGACAGCACAATCTCAGCTCGCTGCAACCTCCACCTCCCGGGTTCAAGTGACTCTTGTGCCTCAGCCTCCCAAGTAGCTGGGATTACAGGCGCCCGCCACCACGCCCAGCTTATTTTCTGTATTTTTAGTAGAAACGGGGTTTCACTATATTGGCCAGGCTGGTCTCAAACTCCTGGCCTCATGATCTGCCCGCCTCAGCTGCCCAAAGTGCTGGGATTACAGGTGTGAGCCACTGCACCTGGCCCAGGCTGAGATTTCTAAGCCCCATCCTTTGTGCAGCTGGCCTCCCAGAAGAACCATTTCCTACTGCACACAGCGCTCTACACACTGGAAGCACTGCACGAACACTGTGCAAGGGGCTGCAGATTTTCCTGGAGAAGGCTCTAAACCACCACTGGTCTTGGCTGCAAGGAAGCAGCCTCTCTTACTTGTAATTTATCCAAGGCCATTTGGTTAAGCCAGGAGCCCCAGAGCAGCCCACACCTGCAAGGCAGGTGATCTTTATGTCAAAACTTTCAAGTAGGTGTACACCCTTGAGGTTTCTTTCCAAAGCGCAAAGGTTGGATGATGTGACCACTGTCTGGAATTTGTGCCAAAAGTTCTGCTCTCTTTTGAGACTCCCTTCCCCGTACATACAAATATGCAACACACATAAACACAAAGTCATGTATGGACGTGTGTACACACATCAACATAGTCATGTGCACACATAATTACACACTTTCTTTTTTATTCAACTGCATGCGCAGTTCACAATAGGGTTCACACTCCTGTGAGAATCTAATGCTGCTGCTGATCGGACAGGAGGCGGGGCTCAGGCAGTAATGCTCACTGGCCCGCTGCTCACCTCCTGCTGTGTGGTCCAGTTTCTAACAGGCCAGGACCAGTACTGGTCCACGGTCCAGGGGTTGGGGGCCCTGTCTTAACATAATCAGTGTTAGCAGTTTGCAGCATATCTTTCTGTATCTTTCTCTGTACTGATGCAAACATATATAAACATTCATCAAAAAATGTTAGATCTAAAAATAGGATTATTACTAAATTTGTTTTTCAGCAATTTGCATCTTTAACACTATATCTGGGACATTCCTTCAGCTCGGTACATATGGGTCTAACTCTTCCTAATAGCCAAGCACATAAGCACATCTACTTATGCTAACAAAGACACATTGTATACATGTGCACACACCCCACCTCATCCCACACCACATCATCCCCAAGGCTATTGATACTGGCACTGCCCCCGCCCCAGCCCTAACCTGCAAAACTTGAGGTTACTGCCGTGTGGTTACCCCTCGCACCCCCCCTTCCAGACCACACTGGCTTGACTCCCAGAGGAGGGTTAAGATAGTGCACTTGGCCCAGGCCGTGCTTCTGAGTGGGCTGCTCTTGTCATATCCCCACTCCCCATTCAGACCCTCAGGGGTAAAAACTATCACCTGGGAACACAGACTAAGCTCGGGGCCAGGCAGACATGCTTGGAGCCTGTTGTGGTAAGGAAGGGAAGGCAGGAAATTGGTCAGCCCAGTAAGAAGCAAGGGGTGTCCTAGAACAGCAGCAGACCCCCAAGCTGAGGCATCAGCAACCTGCATGCCAGCCCCACCCTGATATTAACTCACTGTGTGACCTCAGGCAAGCCTTTCCCTCTCTGAACCTCCTTTCCTCTTCCATAAGATGAGCGTGTTTGCAGTGATGTTCCTAAGGCCCTTCCAGCACAAACACAGGGTTTGGTCAGTGAGTCCTGCTTCTCCCTCAGTGCTGGGAGCTCCCTCTCACACCGATGCTCCCGTGGGACCCTGTCCCCTGCACCCTCAGGGCGAGGGGAACTGGAGAAGCTGAGCCTGACCAGAGAGGCAGACAGGAGGCTACCCTGGAGGCCAGATCCAGATGCGGGTTTCCTAGGCCTGGCAAAGCCTCCCCTCCTTCTAAGGCAGGAAGTGCTTTAGCTGTCCTTTGGAACCATGCTGCTCAGTAACTACACCTGGGAACACCAAGCACTTTTTCTTCGTAATTTAAAAAAAAAAAAAAAAAAGGTACTATTTCAGCAGGCCCTGGGCACTTCCTGTCTTGCTAAGTGAGTACTTGTCTGATCTTTCCTGTTGAACTGGGTCCCTTAGTGCAGCATCTACTATTTACTCACTGCTGTATCCCCAGGATCTAGGTCACACCTGAGATATACTAAATGCCCAGTAAATATTTCAATGCCTCTCTCATTGATTCTGATTACAAATGTGATACCCTCATGTTATTTTTAAAAATCCCCCAAATAGGTATACACGATTAAACTTAGTAAGTGTAAAGTTTTCCAAAACGCTATTCTACAGGCCTCTCCATAAGTAATCATCATAACAGTTTGGTGACATGCTCCTGTACTAGTCAGTGTTTCCCAGTCTTGCACTGTTGACATTTGGAACCAGATAATTCTCTGTTGTAGGATGATTGGCAGTATATCTGGCCTCTGCCTACCAAATGCCAGTCACACTCCCCCAGTTGTGAAAGCCAAAAATACTTTCAGACATTGATAAATGTCCCCCAGCAGACAAAATTATATCCTGCCACTCCCTCCTACTCCCCTGTGTCCCACGCCTGTTGAGGAGCACTCTATATACATCCACAGAGTGAAAGTGAGTTGAAAACAAGTAAACAAAGGCAAGAAAGAGGAGATAGTGATACATACATATAGGTATCAACAACTGTTTATAATTAGTTAAATGTAAATTAATATTCCTGTTCTCTGATTTCCAGTCTTGTGTGAGCCTCGTTCAATTATTCAATCTTTATTTCATTCCCCAAATATTTATTAAATACCTGTGATGTGCTAGGAACTATGCTCATAGATATATTTTCAATAAACTTATTATAACTAAATATCTACTTCGGCCCCCGAAAATGAAGGTACGGAGTGGCAACAAATCCCCAGGTTCTAACTGGTTGCACCTCAATCTCTTACAAGTCCATCACTCTTAATTCAGACCAGCTCCCACACTCTTCCACCTGCCATATTGTCTGTCGTGGTAGGCCAGGGAAAGAGAAAACGGAAGAAAAGAGAAGAGAAAAGAAAAATGTGTTGCCTACTGCCCCTGCCTTTATTGGGATGGATAGCTGGAGTAAACATCATCCAGAAAGACTGGGACTCTGGGTCCTCTCAAACCCAGCACACCCGCACCACCAATACCAGCCCCCAGCGAGAAATCCCTAAGCACTTTGTGAGTATTCATTGCCCAAACATATTTAATTTCCAGTCTTCCCCAACTGATCTCAGCCTTAACTGTTTAACTGGACTAGTCTCTGAGCAGACTCTGTGGCTGCCCTGAAATCAGGTTACTGGCACAGCCTGTAGATATTGACTGATTCAAAGATTACAATCGAGCAAACAGGAGCGTGTTAATTTTTAATTTCACTTTGTTGATAAATCGGGCTTCCTCTTTGTCCTATAACCGATAATTACCTGGTCAGAAGAAACATGCCATACTTACCCTGCAATGAAAGTCCACTTGTCTGGCCTTCCTGGCCCTCGCTGGGTTTTTCAAAGGAGCTCCCATACTGGTTTGGCCTCAGTCACCTGTTAAAGAATTGAGGGACTTCTGAGTTGAGCAACCCTGGGTCAATGTGAGACCCAAGCTGAACAGCATGGGACTCTAAAGAATTAAAGGGAGATCTAAGGAAGATCTTTGAGGTTTGGGCTTTGGGGATAGGAATGGGGTTTTTCCTCTAACAAAGGAGAGACTGTGATAGAGAAAGTGTTTCTTTCATGGCTTCCAGTTCACAATAAGTCACCCTCATTCTGGAGCCAAGGTTGTTCTCAAAGGTGACTTTACCACAGTACAACATGAGACAGAAAACAGCAGCCATGTATCCGCCTCATCACACAAGAGCTCTACTGTTTGCTAAGTCTCTTAGTTCACACAACCGTGGTGCCATCCTGGGAAATAATTACCAGTACTCCCATTGTATGGAGCAGGAGAAAGGATCATTGACCTGCCCAGATTTGCAGTTTATATCTCTAAAGGATCCAATTATTTAACATAGAGATGTGTCACTTTTTTTTTTCTCTCCCTTTTTTTTTTTTTTTTTTCCTGTTGCTTTTAGGGGCCAAAGTGGTTTCAGTTTGAAACCATGATGAATTTAACATAAATCAAGAAAAACAACAGAAGCAATGTTTCCCATCTGGAATGGAGTATAGTCTTCTATTTTATGCTATTTGTCTACCCTGTCACTAACTGCAGAGAAAACATTCTAAAAACTGCCCTTTGTAGCCTCAAGCCATTTCCCTAGGGCTGTTTGACTTAAAAAAATAAAAAGCCAGAGAAATAAAAAATGCGTTTCAGAGCCTGAGTGGCATTTAAGTCAAAGACCTACTGAGCAGGGATTCATTTAGTGGGTTATTTTAAATAATTCAATCCAGAAAATAACTGGTTGAATATATATATATATCTCACCAACTTCATTCACAGATGTTGGCAAGTGACTAAGAAAAGGAAGGGAAACTTTGTTCAATGCTCGGAGATGAATGTACCAAATTATGCAAGCCCTGCTGCATTTGAGAACTGGAAGGGGACTAAGAAATCAGTTAGTCTAGTAAGTAAGGGCTTGCTTACTAGCCCTTACTTACTAGTAATCTTTTTCTGGGGAGGTATTTCTGAGTTCCCTTACATTTTATGATCATCAGAGACATGATACTTCACATAGCTAGAGAGGAGAAGGTAGAATTTTATTGAGCACGTAATGTTACCGTCCGCCTACTTTGAGGATTCCCAAGTCTTCCCATTGCCTATGGGAGTATTTCTGTGGGACATCAGTACCGTGGATTCTTCTCTACAAAGGTTTCCAGGGTCACACCTGTTTAGGAAATGCTGTGTGTTATATCCAGCTTTGGATATTTGCACAGCACACCTGCATACTAAATGCTGTGCACTGAGTGAGAAACCCTGGAATCTTAAAAGCCTCATTATTTTTGCTTAAGCCAAGCCTCCAATCTTATTTTATGATCATATCATGTAGGATATAGCTACAAGTGACAGAAACCCTGACTCAAAACTGGGATAAACAATAAGAACTGTTTGTCACGCTTCACAAACCAGATGTTCAGAGACGTAGGACAAGCTTGGGAGATTTGTGTCCACATTTTTCTACTCTAGCACCCTCAGTGTTAGCTTCATCTTCAGGCCAGTAGTAGGATGACAGTTACAGCATCACACTCAGGCCTGACAGAGGAAAAAGAAGGATCATTTCTTCACGTGGCCTCTCTTAGGAGAGAAGTTTCCCACAATCTCCCTGGTATACACTCAAGTCTCATTGGCCAGAATCTGGTCACACATCCACTCCTGAACCAATCACTGAGCAAAAAAACAAATGAAATTTTTCCTTTGACCAATCCCTCTCAAGCTGGAGGTGGGCCAGCTTCCCTAACTATAAAGCTGCATGGAGGAGGAACAGATTCCTGAACAAAACTAGAGCTCCATTAAGAAGGCAAAGAGGAGAATGGTAAGCAGCCAGCATTGTTCACTGCAACTGTAGACACCTTTTTACACCTAACACCTTGTGGTAGTTAATTTTATGTGCCAACCTGACTGGGCCACAGGGTGCCCAGACATTTGGTCAAATGTTATTCTGGGTGTGTCTGTGAGAGTATTTCTGGATGAGGTTGATATTTGAAGTGTTGATGTTTGAAGTGGTGGGCTGAGTGAAGCAGATTGCCCTCCCTAATATGGGTGGGCCTCATCCAATCAATTAAAGGCCTGAATAGATCAAAAAGGTTGAGTCAAAGGGATTCTTCCCACTTGACTGCTGGAGCTGAGATTTTGATCTTTTCTAACCTTCAGTCTTGTACCGAAACATCAGCTCTTCTTGGGTTTCAAGCCTGCTGGCTTTTGGACTGGAACTTATACCATCAGCTCTTATGGTTCTCAGGCCTTTGGACTCAGACTGCAACTGGACATTGGCTCTCCTGGGTCTCTAACTTGCAGACTGCAAATCTTGGACTTTTTCAACCTGTAATTGTTTAAGATGAGTAGACAAGTTAGTACATAAAAACATAACTTATTGATTCTGTTTCTGTTCTCTGAAGAACAGAGCCAGTAGTCTGTTTCTCTGACTAATACACAACTATATTAAGGTTTCTCAGAACTTAAGTTCCTCCAAACACTTTGGAAAATGCTGGAAAGCTTTCTTAGGTAGAGTCCAAATTTTCTAATATAGCATTCAAAGCCCATTATGCTTTGGTTCCGTACTCTTTTCTAGTCTCATGTACTGTTCTAGCAAACAAAATGTTATTTTAGACTCTTGCACTTTTGCTTGTACTAGTCTCTCTGCTAGTTGCCCCTTTCCCATCTATCAAATGTAGAAACATGGGAAAGTTATTTAAGCTCTGTGCCTCAGTTTCCTTTCCAGAAAATAGAGATCATAGAAATAACTACCTCATTGGTTATTATGAGGATTAAATACCTGCATGAACTTTGAACAGTTCCTAACACATGGTAAGTGCTGAATACACGTTAGGGATCATTCTGCAATCCCATTGCACTTTGTGCATCCCTCAATGAAAACACACTCTATGCAGTAATAAATGATTTTCTTTCTTTTTTTTTCTTTTTTGAGACAGAGTCTGGCTCTGTCGCCCAGGCTGGAGTGCAGTGGCCGGATCTCAGCTCACTGCAAGCTCCGCCTCCCAGGTTTACGCCATTCTCCTGCCTCAGCCTCCCAAGTAGCTGGGACTACAGGTGCCCGCCACCTCGCCCGGCTAGTTTTTTTGTACTTTTTTAGTAGAGACGGGGTTTTACCGTGTTAGCCAGGATGGTCTCGATCTCCTGACCTCGTGATCCGCCCTTCTCGGCCTCCCAAGTGCTGGGATTACAGGCTTGAGCCACCGCACCCGGCCATAAATGATTTTCTTGTACATACATCTCTCCAACTAAATCACAAAGTCTTCAAAGACAGGAATATCATATTGTTCCTCTTTGATTCTCCCAAGTTTAGCACAATATGTGGTTCTTGGCTATGATCAACAAGTGCTTGGTGAATGAATAGCTGAATGATCTTCATACCTAAAGAAACTGAAATTCCAACAAGGTGAAATAAGTTGCACATCACATAGACAAGAAATGCCAGAACTTGGAATCCGGGTATCCCAGTTTCTGAAACCAGGAGCTCCATTTAGCACCTAGAGATTGCTTCCCACTAGGTGACAGCATTCTTGTAATTCAATTTAGCAAGTCTTTCGTGAGCACTTACTATGCATCAGACACTCCACTGGGGACTGGGGATGATGAAAACTCAATCCATGCCCTCGAGGCATCAGGCAGCCATCCCCTGGACCCAATCCTTCAGCTGGCCTCCCTGCCTCCAGACCCCTACCCCTGCCACTCATTCTTCAAGGCACCATCAAAATTACTGCTTGGGCCGGGTGCGGTGGCTCACGCCTTTATTCACAGCACTTTGCGAGGCCAAGGTGGGCGGATCACACAGTTCAGGAGATGAAGACGACGGTGAAACCCCGTCTCTACTATCTACTAAAAATACAAAAAGTTAGCTGGGCGCGGTGGCGGGCGCCTGTAGTCCCAGCTACTCAGGAGGCTGAGGCAGGAGAATGGCATGAACCCAGGAGGTGGAGCTTGCAGTGAGCGAGATCGCGCCACTGCACTCCAGCCTGGGGGACAGAGCGAGACTCTGTCTCAAAAAAAAAAAAAAAAAAAAAGAATTACTGCTTGGGCTTACATGCTCCAAAAGCCATAGCCTCTGGGAATAATGCCCACATTTCTGGTCTGCCACCACCATAACCCATCCATAATCTAATGTCATTGTATTAGTCCATTCTCACACTGGTATAAGGACATACCTGAGACTGGGTAATTCATAAAGGAAAGGGGTTTAATTGACTCACAGTTCTGCAGGGTTGGGTGGGGGGTGGACCTCAGGAAACTTACAATCATGATGGAAAAGGAAACAAACACATCCTCCTCCACATGACTGCAACAAGGAGAAGTGCAGAGCAAAGTGGGGGAAAATCCCTTATAAAACCATCAACTCTCATGAGAACTCACTCACTATCATGAGAACAGCATGGAGGTAACTGCCGCCATGATTCAACTACTTCCCACCAGGTCCCTCCCACGACATGTCGGGATTATGGGAATTACAGTTCAAGATGAGATTTGAGTGGGGACATAGCCAAACCATATCATTCCTTCCCTGGCCTCTCCCAAATCTCATATCCTCACATTTCAAAACACAATTATGCCTTCCCAACAGTCCCACAAATTCTTAAGTCATTCCAGCATTAACTCAAAAGTCTAAGTCCAAAGACTCATCTGAAACAAGGCAAACCCCTTCTGCCTATGAGTCTGCAAAATCAAAAGCAAGTTAGTTACTTCCTAGATACAATGCGGGTACAGGCATTGGGTAAATACACCCATTCCAAATGGGAGAAATTGGCCAAAATGAATGGGCTACAAGCCCCATGCAAATCCAAAATCCAATGGGGCCGTCAAATCCTAAAGCTCCAAAATGATCTCCTTTGACTCCCTGTCTCACATCCAGATCACATGAGATGCAAGAGGCGAGTTCCCATGGCCTTGGGCAGCTCCACTCCTGTGGCTTTGCAGGGTATGGCCCACCTCCCGGCTGCTTTTATGGCTGGCATTGAGTGTCTGCAGCTTTTCCAGGCACATGATGCAAGCTGTTAGTGGATCTACCATTCTGGGGTCTGGAGGACAGTGGTCCTCTTCTCACAGCTTCAACAGGCAGTGCCCCAGTGGGGACTCTGTGTGGGTGCTCCGATTCCACATTTCCCTTCTGCACTGCCCTAGCAGAGGTTCTCCATTAGGGCTCCAGCCCTGGAGCACACCTCTGCCTGGACATTCAGGTGTTTCCATACATCCTCTGAAATCTAGGCAGAGGTTCCCAAACCTCAATACTTGACTTCTGTGCACCCACAGGCCCAACACAATGTGGAAGATGCCAAGGCTTGGGGTTTGCACCCTCTGGAGCAATGGCCTCAGCTGTATGTTGGCCCCTTTTAGCCACACTGGGACAGGGCACCAAGTCCCAAGACTGCACAAAGCAGCAAGGCCCTGGGCCCAGCTCAAGAAACCATTTTTTCCTCCAGGCCTGTGATGGGAGGGGCTGCTGTGAGGATCTCTGACATGCTCTAGAGACATTTTCTCCATTGTCTTGGTGATTAACATTTGGCTCCTCATTATTTATGCAAAATTTCTATAGCCAGGTTGAATTTCTCCCCAGAAAATGGGATTTTTCTTTTCTACTGCATCATTGGGCTGCAAATTTTCCACTTTTATGCTCTATCACCTCTTGAATGCTTTGCTCCTTAGAAATTTCTTCTGCCAGAACCCTAAGTCATCTCTCTCAAGTTCCCAAAGATCTTTAGGACAGGAGCAAAATTCCACCAGTCTCTTTGCATAGAAAGAGTGACCTTTACTCCAGTTCCCAACAAATTTCTCATCTCCATCTGAGACCACCTCAGCCTGGAGTTTTGTGTCCATATCACTATTAGCATTTTAGTCAAAGCCATTCAATGAATCTCTAAGAAGTTCCAAACTTTATCACATCTTCTTGTCTTCTGAGTCCCTTCAAGTCTCTAGGAAGTTCCAAACTTTCCCATATTTTCCTGTCTTCTTCTGAGCCCTCCAAACTGTTCCAGCCTCTGCCTGTTACACAGTTCCAAAGTCACTTTCACATTTTCAGGTATCTTTACAGTAGCATCCCACTACCTGGTACCAATTTACTGTATTAGTCTGTCCTCACACTTCTATAAAGACATACCCAAGACTGGGTAATTTTTAAAGAAAAGAAGTTTAATTGACTCACAGTTTTACCAGGCTGTGGAGGGGGTGGGCCTCAGGAAAGTTACAGTCATGACAGAAAAGGAAACAAACACGTCCTTCTTCACATGGCAGCGGCAAGGAGAAGTGCAGAGCAAAAAGGGGGAACCCCTTATAAAGCCATCAGATCTCATGAAAACTCACTCACTATCACAAGAACAGCATGGGGGTAACTGCCCCCATGATCCAATTACCTCCCACTGGGCCTCTCCTATGACACATTGGGATTATGGGAACTACAGTTCAAGATGAGATTTGGGTGGGGACACAGCCAAACCATATCATTCATTTACCCACACAAGCTCATATCTGACCACTGCCAACTTGACCCTTTTCACTGTGGGTCCCCCACAAACCACACAGCAGACTCATTTCCATCTCCACCCCTCTGCTCATTTGGTGCCTCCTGTGTGACAAAGTTCCTTTGTTTCTCAACCTGTAATTGGTGTGACCTACTTCACTAGCTTGGGATACAAACATAGTCACACTTTGTTTTTCAGTTCACGCTTTGAAGGTCCTGTATGTTCCTATTAGAACTATGTTTCCCTCTTTCTGTTCTCTCAAAATTATATAAGAATTCCAGGGACTTCTTTTTGTCAAATGAAATAACAACTTAAAAATCTAATCTGGTCATTACTGTCATTGCTTCTTGTTGCCTCATGCTGTTGAAGCTCTGCCTTTGCTAGTTTAGGATATTTGTCTGCCCTGTGGTTATGTCCTTGGCCCAGATCCTGACCCAGTTTGCAGGTTTCAGCTCCTCTAATCACACCTATGTGCTGTGTCATGTGCCCAGAGCTTGATGCTGGTGGCTCCCACAACCATCATTAGGGTGATAAGTCCAAGTCACAAAGCCAGACACCCTTTTCCCCCACAGTAACTCCCACTCTGAACACATTAGAGTAATTTTCTGCCAATCATTCCGAGGTCCTGGCTACCCCAGGATACACTCATGACGTTCCTCTCACTTCCAAACTCCATAAAAAGAGCCTGTGCTCCTGTACTTTCCTACCCAGAAAAATCCTGAGCCTCTTATGCAAGTCAACCCAACTTCTGCACACTGTAAACCAAGGGGAGAAACAGTTGCTATTAAGCCACAAAAGAAAATAAGTCCCCATTACATCTTTCTCCCAGACCAATAGGTGTCTGCTTATATTTGCTTAACTAGGAGACACCATTTGAGCAACTTTTCATAAACCAAGGTGACCCACTATGTCCATCTTCTCAAAGGAATGCTGGCAGCTTCTACTCTAAGTTGTGGTTTTTGTAGGTTGTTTCCTACCCAGTAATTTATTGCACAGCGATCTCAGGTTCAAGGTCTAGAGAAAGTCCACAATAATATCTCTTCTAAAATTCCTATAGCATTTATATATATAGTCCACATCTTGATTTGTTCATTCATTGAACAAATACTTATTGAGCACCAATTATGTACCAGGTCCAGGCAATGGGTATGCAAAGTTTAAAAGGCCACAGCCTCTGTCTCCAGAGCCTGCCAAGCTAGAGGATTCTATATTGGTCTATGTTGGTCAGTGTGACAGTTGCCAGTGCACTGGGCCTGCAGCTAGAACACTAGAAGGCCACGCAGCACAGGGCACTGCAGTACCCCACTTGCCCTCTTACAGTTAATCTGGTGGATGATAAATAAGGTTGAAGCTTTAATCAAATTGTAGCACAAGCTCTGCCTTCATTACTGTTACCTCTTTCTGCTCCTTAGCCAGTTACCACCTCTTCCATTTGAAAGGACTATGAAAAAGGGTCTCCTGCCTTCCTACAGAAGTACTCGAAAGTTGGCTGGGCATTGTGGCTCACGCCTGTAATCCCAGCACCTTGGAAGGCCAAGGCAGGAGGATAACATGAGCCCAGGAGTTCAAGACAAACCTGGGCAACACAGTGAGACACTGTCTCTACTAAAAAAAAAAAAAAAAAGAAAATAGCCAGGCATGGTGGCATATGCCTGTAGTCTCAGTTACTCATGAGGCTCAGGCAGCAGGATTGCTTGAGCCCAGGTGTTGGAGGCTGCAGTGAGCTATAATTATGCCACTGTGCTCCAGGCTGGGGAACAGAAAAAGACCTTATCTCAAAAAAGACAGAAGTACTTGCAAGTGATAAAGCTGAAAGCATCTTAGCTGAGACGTACACACTAAGGATTGGGTTGGATTTCTGCAAAATATGCAACCTTATATATTCATCAAAAAATTAATTTAATTCCAGCAACT